TATATATATATATATATATATATATATATAAGTACAAAGTAAAGTTGCTGTAACAATAAATGTTAGTCTTTTATTACTATGTTATCAATCTAATAAGTTAGTACTCTTAAGTACTGATATGAATTTTATTATACTTAGTATTATAATTTAAATGAAAGAGTAGTTTCTTATAATTATGAATTATAAACTTGGTTTGAAGTAGTTATATAGTTGCATTTAATTAAAATAAGTAACTTATAATTTATCTCTTCTACAGAATATATTATAATTACAAGAGTCTCAATCATAAATATAAGTTATAATTAATTATGACGTATATAATTTTATGTAAAAAAAAAAAATAAAATTACGACATATATAAGGGTAAATAACAAAAATGAGTAGAATTACTAAGAAAAGTATGAATTAATCATTTATGGTGCTATAGTTCATGAATGTTATGCAATGTAATTTCATGTCGTACGAGCAAACGTATTTAAAAATGACGACGTTTCTTAATATGTAAATTTTGCAAAATTTATATTTGAAAGTTTGTACCTTAATGCTTGGATAAACAAGTAAATTGAAAGGTTGATTAAGTAAAGATGAAGTATGCCAAAGATTGGAGAGTGTGGGCCTAGCAATTCCTAAGGGACGACGACGTGAATATGAGAGTCTGAATAGGTAAGATCCGCTCTTATGTGTTATGACCAACAATGATTAACTCGCATATTCTCGATATGGCTAAGCAATATATGATGAACAAGGGTGTACCTCTTGCGGGAGCATGAATATGCTAATTATATGAATTTTGTTTCAAAATGTAATCCTTGTTATTTAAATATCTTTTAATTAGTGAAAACCTTGCAACCAAATTATATGTAGATCTTGCTATTATTCTTTTGTAACATGTAATTTGCGAAAAAAAAAATTAACCATTTTTTTATATTAAATAAACAGAATAAAATAAAATAAATAAAATTTGTTAGCGGTAGGGTTGCGTCCAGTGTAAGATATTACATGTTATCACACCCCATTAGCATTAGCGTTAGGATAGTAAATATATCTTCTTATATTTTTTATGTTATTGTATTTAATCATTTTGAATTTACAGTGCAATAGTTAATAATTTTTGTATGTAAAACACTTATTAAGTCTATATTTATCGAAAATAAAATATTTACATAAAGTATATTTATTTCATATTATTACATTTTAAAATTTATTAAAACTATTGGAAAAATTAATATAAATAAAATGAGTTAGGTTAAGAAAGTTTTATAAAAATAAGTTAACTATACAAAAGAAAAACAACAGCCATAAAGAAAATTATTTATAATATATATTTTATCCAATTTTATTAGAAACTTTTGAAATACTTCATCAATAAAAGTTTTTAATGTAATATAAACCGATCAACTTAATATGTAAAAGTCAATATTTTCTTTCTCTTATTATATTCCTTATCCTCTGATCATCTAACTTCGTTTCTTCGGATAAATGTCCTTTGATGGTTATATACAAGATACCCTTCAAAATATCTATATTATTCTAAAACTATTTATTAATTATATCATAGATTTGATTCATTAATGTATTGTCACATTTAATAATCATTTACTTTATCCTTTTTTTCTTCTTCTCAAATTATAATTTTATTTTATAATTATATCATCCTAAAATATTATCATTAAACGCATAATGCATAATAGTAGAGATTAAGATAAAATACACAACGTTCAAAATTTGAACTTTAATTCCATAATTGTAATTACACTAGTTAAGTACAGATTTCAGATCTATTTCACCTGCTACGTTAGGAATTTTATTTAATCGAGCTAGTAAAAGCGTTAAACAGACGATTACACTAACAGCTTCACTTTTGCCTAAAAGAGGCAATCCTCAAGATTTGGTTACTCGTTACTCAAGGATTAATTGACTAGCTTCCTTTCACAAGTATATCATTCAATGTATTTTCTCGTAGGAACTGCTGTCAGTGAAACTTGGACCAAACTTGTCACTGCCTCTCTAACCAGTAATCTTGGAGTCCTATCATTAACTAAATTTTCTTACGAAAAGCAGAAATAAGAGTACATATTAGAGCATTTGTTGCAAGAACTGTCGGAAAATGTGTCCAGGGCCTTTTGGCTGCCTGGATAATATCCAGCTCCCCGTCTCATCAACACTATGTTGAACAATTCTTATACAATGCAGTCTTCTCCACGTCATGATTGCTGAAATTTTTTGGCGTGCAGCAACATTCATCTCCTCTTCTGTCTGGACTTTGTTACAAAAAAACTGAAAAAGGATTCAGTTGTCTTATGCCTTCTTCTTGCCACCAGTAAGAATGCGCTGGATTTGAAGCCCTCGGCTGAAAGCTTGGTTGTATAGCAATCTAGTTTGGAATTCTGAAACAAATGGGAACCAAGCTAATATGGCAACTGGTGCAAAGATTACCACTCCCATCACGTATTCATACCCTCTTGATAAAGCTTTCACAGACCCCCACATTCCAATTCCCTTCACCAATGGCTTACATGCTTGAGCTATCTGCTCATATATAACATCATGCAAATCAGAAACAAGTCATTTTTCACTTACAGATAACAGCAAAAGAAATGTACCTATTTTTAGGTTTAGAAGGAGTGCCTATTTTGTTTCTTATATAAACAATTGGAAAAGAGTATTTAAATTAATGATATTAGTAATTAAAATGTACTAGTTTAACTACTTTTATTAATCATGACGAATTATAATGATCGGAGGTAGTATTGATTTTTTCAGTAAATTAGCCATTGCATGGACAAGTGACTTTATTTATGAGACAAGCAGAGGACTTGCATACTGCTCGGATCAAATGCTGAGAGACACAATTAAGATCAATGTGTACGTTCAATATCTCATCAAATGAAAGAAATATCTATCAAACAAGAGGTTATGACCATTAAAGACCTACCTGTATAAATGCCCAACCTGTCGGCATAAAGGCTAGGAGACTCACAAAGATGTCTCCAACTGTGAGACTAAGTAGAGTAAACATCAAGACCAGAATAACAACGATTCCAATAAACATAAGCATTTTGAGGAGACGAAACATCAGCTGGAAATCAGCACTGAACGTCTTTCTACCCATTGACACTATCTGCAGTTTCAGATGCAAGAATGCCACCACCAATTAATTAATAGAATAATTATTAAGCTAAAGCACATAGAACATGCTTCAACTCATAATGAACCATTCAATAATTGAATACCGACCTTCAAGATGACTATGACAGCTACTACGACTAGCCAGGACAGAGCATAAACCTGAGAAAAAATGCATGTTAGAAAGTTCTTCTCATTAGTGCCTTTTACTTATTTTCACTTTCTTTCTTGTTCATCTCGGGAGGATGGTAAAGGACAAAATTCTTCTGACTAAGGAACTTCTTTGTCTAAAATGTGTACTATGATAAATATGTGCAGTCAAACTCTGAGATGCAGATTCAGAAGTTTGATATGAAAATGTAAAGCATAATTAAATTGGCAAGAAAAATTACCATGATGCTCTTGTCACCTCTAGCCACATGTAGATGATACACAATCCCATACTGATAGAGAAAGAAACGAAGGGAAAGAATGACCTCCCAAATCCTCCCCCAAATCCCAGTGTGCTGCAGATGCTCCTGTTCCTCATCCCACCATGATTCCCAGCTCTTGTTTGAAGGAACACCAATACCTCCTCGACAACTTATCCATTTTGACCAATCATCCCAATCCTCAACTATCTTCTGCCACTCAAATCCGGATGGATTAAAAAGGAAAGGACTGAACAACCAAGAACATACCAAAAACCACATTGATATTGAGAGAAGGCCATATGATGTTAAACCAGGAGCTGCTGCTCCATAAAGCTTATAACATATGAGCAGTATAGCTAGCTCTAACCCTTTTACAAAGTGACTCCTAGAATACATTCTGTAATTTTCTGCAAACTTTTCATGACGAACTACAAAACCACGCCCAGTTGCTCTGTACTTTGCTCCTCCATGCAGAAGAGTGCGCCCAAAATAGTGCATCTTAGTCCCTAGTGAGAAGGTGAAGAAAACAGGTGCTAGCTGAAGCTGCATTATTATGATCTCACTTAGAGCTGTTCTGAATCCTCTCTCTAGTCCAATTTCCATGACCATGGGCAGAGTCATCAGAAGACCTATTTGAACAACAGATTGGGAAGCCATTGCAGCCTTTAATGGATCATCACCCTTTTTCCTAGCAATCTTAACTATAGCAGATTCTAATCCACTCAATGACAGGTAAAGTCTGCCATACAGGAAAGCATAAACCGTAATAGCCACCAACTGTGAACAGCAGAAGAAAGCTTTAGTGCTAGATGAGGGATTAGCTAATTAAGCGCATTAGGATAAAATTCAAGACATCTAATCAAGACAATTACATAACTCCGATGTTAGGGTTTAAGTGATCAAATCATCAGAAAAATCCATATCCATTCCTCTAATTGGATATTATTTTTTCAAAAGACACCATTTGGTAAATTGTAATAACAGAATTTACTGAAATAACCTTATTGCTTTTATATAAAGATGTTCAGTATTATTTTGCTTGATCCTAAAGCATTAAGCGTTACCATTGAGCTAACATAAAATCCAACAGTTGTAAAATAAAATGATAGCATGCGGAAAAAGTCAAATCGATGCCCCAGTCGGTAGATATCCCTGCTCATTATCTGCTCTCCATTGCCACAGGCCACTTTTGCTTCAAAAAGAGAGATTTGATTGAGCCCAACATCTCTACCCTTTCCAACTTGGATATACTCATGATGAGTCACATTTCCACGTCTTAGTGTTGAGTTGAATCCTGTATAGAAAAGGCATATATGATGCAGAGGTAGAAATATCAAATAACATGGTCAAAAAAGATGTATCAAGAATGTTACCAGCAAATATATCCTCGCTCAGATTGATGCCACAAGAAGCCTTGCTGATTCCTCCACGGGTAAAGTGGAAAATTCTATCAAAAACATCTGGATGACCATAGTGGAATCGAACCCTACAATTGAAAAAATCAAAGTCAGAAACTGTGTATTCTGTATTATATGTATTTTAATTCTCTTATCTTGCAACAGCATCGGAAGACAGAAAAAAGAAAATTCCAATAGTTGAATGATTATTGCCCCCAAGAAAATCAAAAAAGAGGAAGGCACAAAGCATAAAATTCATCTTGCATGTTGTTAACCTTTTAAGCTAGTTTTAAATATCTTGCATGCACCTCACTCTTAAATCAAAATGCTGCCTTGATTAGCCATTTTGTTTCTCGGGAGGTTCCTAATTTATGGCAAGTCAACTGCATATGGAGAAACATAAGACAAACAAAAACTTACTTTAGTGGTCTTGCAAGAACTCTTTGACCAATTGTGACAAAGCTAGTTTCTTGATTTGACATAAACCAGGCCAAGGAAGAGACACTGTAACAAGTTATAAAATTAAGTAAAATATAGGATCTTAGCACGACAAAGTGTTAGCTCTAAGTAGAAAAAACTTCATAACCTTCCGGTGAAAATATGCTCACGGACACCTAGTATGGTGGGTGGGCGCACTCCATGATCCTCATCAAATTCTTCCAGAAGGTTACGCATTTTTAAAGCTTCTTCCAAGTAATTATCCTAGAGGAAATTTCAAATAAACCAACTTTAATAGGCTGACACCGATTGTCAACTTGTTCAAGCTTCACATTTTATAATGTTTTACCTGGTTCATGTCAATAGCCTGAAGAGCTTCCCCTCTAGTAAAAATGATGGCATGATTTTGGTTTTCTGGCTTCCCTTCTCCTAACTTTGCCGGACCCGGAAGCTTTATCCGATATATTTCCTTCAGAGGAGATACAAAAACAATCATTTATAAGCCAACCACTAGTAATTAACTACCTTTTCTCAGACATCAATATGCATTTACTTGGTCAAGATTATCCACAGCTTTGACCAATACAGAATAATAAACTTTCTGTACTTTTCCACCTTCTCTTTCTTCAACTTCATCAATATATGCAACACGAAGTGAGGGATTGCTATACATGAAGAACCAAAAATTAGATTCTTAAATTATGTGAACTAGGGAAACTAAAAGCCTATATATATCAAACATAAAATTTTCAATTTTAATTAAGAAAAGGGGAACATACTTAACCATCAAATTCAGGATATCTGTTGCACGGCGGTCTCCACTGCGCTTCTGATTCCCATAGTTCTGACAGGTAGCAACGTATGTGAATTTCATATCAGCCATAGCCTCTAAACTGGCATATAAGGATCTATGACTCTTTTTTTCTTCCTCAGAAGGAACTGCAATAGCTTTGTAGCCGTCGAGTATCTCTGCCCAGAAAAAATAATGTGCAATGATCTTGGTAGATGAATATGACAAGTATTTTTACCCGATAGCATATGAGCGAGGTAATGCTTGTTAAGAGTTAAAGGTATGCATACATAAGAAAAGACTAAGGCCCACAGTTTAAGAAAAACTGTGAATCACAAACCTCCCATTATATCTATTAGATTTAGCTAAATATCTCAGAATAAAAGGAACTTAATCTTACCCTTTTCAGAAGCCATATCAAGAAATGCCTGGAGCTTTATTGCCCGCCGGTAGTACATCATTCCCCTAACTACGTTAGAAGAGGAAAAATATCAGTTGGCTTGATCCAGCATGAGGGGAGGGGAAAGAGAATCACTATATACCTGTCCTACAAAGAGTTTGTCCTCTTAATGAGGCCCAGTGACGTAGCTGTAATATATTCTCATCTTTTTCCCATACCTCGCTATCTTTCTTACAATCAAGTCGCTCCAAGAAGTTATTCCATTCATCTGGCAACATTACGAAATTTTAGCTAGTCCATTCTGTATTATCAATATACAATTCAATTAAACTGAGTTATTACAAACCAGGGAAGATCTTTTGAAGGTAATATATGATTGACACGCCATCTTCATTATCAACCTCAATGTCATTCTTAGAATATACAGTCTCTTCACTGTAGTATGGAGTTAGGACACTGAAAAGAAGAAACAAAAAAGGCTCTACATAAGCACAAAGAAGCTTTAGAACGCATCGCAATTTGAATTTTGTGCATACAAAATTCCTTGACAAAAATATGTTAAATGACTAAAAAAGGGAGTATTTTGCGTCTACTGTATATGATAGTAATCCTACAACAGTTGAAGTCATCACATTCTAAAGAAAACACCATATAACACACACTGATGGATATGATTTCTGTTCTATCTGCTTTGTTAGGATGTTGACATTTAATTTGCATTTAGTGTGCACAATAAAAACATGATGTTACTGCACTTTATAATCTCTATAAGACATAACATTGGCACATGTCTTCGTGGGCATGTAGTAATTAAGGAATCTGCACCAGACCTGAATGAGAGCATTTTACGTACTCGAGGAGCACGTGGCATATCCATAAACAAAGAATTGGTAAAGAATGCAACCCTTCTGCGTACTTCGCTGTTTGTTGGAACATCAATGGCAGATTCCTTTACAGTCAAGAGTAGATAAAGCCGTCTTATCTGAACAACACAATGATTCATTGGTTAAAGAAGCCTCCAGATCATTGAATAATATAAACTAAAAAAGTAAAGAATTAAACTTAAAGTTACAGTACTAAGCACCTGTTCCTCCCATTGTGCTGTAACCACAGGAGGGAACAGTATAGCAGGTTTTGCCTCTGTACCAGCAAAAACTTGTCGTCCTGTATCCTTACTACTTTGATTAAGTTCTGCCAATTCGCTGATGAACATCAAAAGTAAAAAAAACAAGCATTATTACTTTCAATGAAAGATCCATGAGTTATCATATTAATAATTTAATATATTCCAAATTCAGTGCCTCTAAGTTAAAACAACCTGATTTCATTCACCATCATATCGGTAACCACTTCTAGCATGTCTTGCAGCAAGACCACCACTGTACCCCGCTTGGATGCATCTCCACTTTTCTGTGACAAAAAATCAGAATACAAGTTTCCGAATAATGGCTAAAGACAAGACACCATTCAAGAATACAAACTACAGATATAGTTACTTATTGTTTTGAATCACTCACCAAGATTTCCACAAGCTCCACAAACTTCTTACAAAGGGAGGGTAAAAAGCCCATACGGAAATTTGTAAGAAGTGTATTCTTTGAGATGTTGCTCTCGACTTCTTTAATGATGATGGAAATTATACTGGTTCATCACAATTGATTCAGAAGTACAGATAAGAATTCAATTTAATTAAATATCCATAGCTTCAATTATATGTGCTACTTAAGAAATCAAAAAACAGATGATAACAAAATATCGAATTACCCTCTGTACTTCAATATGAAATTATGAAATCATGCTGCTCAAAATAATATTGATTTGGAAAGTTAGTCAAGTAACTCACAAATAGATCTAAAATCTAGCTAGCTGCTAGATTAAAAACAATAATAAAATAAAAAATAATTGCTATTCAGGAAATTCAAAAGGACTCCTAATATCAGTATAATTAAGTATTTAATGTTGTACTATTTTAGGATAACGACTGATTTGTGGAAGACACAAATTAGGTGGGAATCAGTCTTTATTTTTGTCTTTATTAGGGAGGTTTCTTTCCCCTTTTGAACCTTAGACTTGGCTATAAAATATGTACATACAGACAAATACAATCAACGAGAAATAATTACTCATATTTTGTCTTGTCCTTTATAAGGTTGATGAAACTGAGTCTAATTAGCATAATCCATTAATATTGAATAGCACACTTCTGGCATGAAGTGTAAACTAAATTCACACACACCAACAAGATACCAAAAGATACCTTTTTTCAGTTTCTCCTGTCACTAGATCATGTAGAACATGTTTAAAGGATTCATAGCATTCAATCACAGCACATTTCATATTTTCATCTGCACATATGCGCTTCCAAAGATCAGAGTCCTTCCCTCGAAACTGAGTTGCCATATCCAGTGCTACAGTAATCTGTAAGATTGACAGTGCTAATCATATAGACTGGTAATAAACATATGAATATTGAAATTGAATCACAAAGAGTGTTAGCAACATACTCTCTAACACACTTTTATTAGTTAAAATTCATTGAAAACTAAAAATCCTGAGAGATTCATTAAATGAAGTGTGGGACCCACCAGAAATTATAATTTTCAATAAATTTCAACCAAACAGAGGGAATGTGCTAAAAAGAATGTGCTAGAGAGTGTGTTTCTAGCATTTTCCATTAAATCACACTAACATACCTTGCCCGCAAGCAAAAATGGTGGCCACTGAATTATTTTCAGACTATGACCCAATGAGTAAGGAACTAGCAAAAGATCCATCTCCCTGGAGTCATCATGCAAACATAGTTTAGTCCAAAATAGGTGATGGGCAGAAAAAAAAAAAAGATGGAGAAAACGTTGAATCTAGGATTGACAACAAGGAAAAGCAACTAAAGAGATTGGCTCTGAGGTCCTTTCCTATCACTTATGAGATCTTCCTCGCGAAAACTGCAAATAATCTCATTCCATAATTGGGCAAATTTGGCAGCTTCATTTCTTTTGCTTGCAGAAATCTATACGAGCATGGAAACTAAAGTTAACGTGAAGATGATTTAATACAAATATTTTAATGTGCTTAGAAATTAAAATGTGTTAAAACCTCAGCAAATTGCTTTGAGAGAGAGAATCTCCCTCTTTGCTTCTTATCAGAAGGAACCAAGCATGTGTTGAATGCACCAGGCAATGACTGAAACCGTGATCTTAGCATTTCCAGAGTGCGTATCTATGCAATCAAATTAATAGCAACATTAACTGACAGTTAAAGATTGTCAATTATTTTACTCTTTGAATACACTGAATTTTTTAGAGTTCATAAATTTCAGTCAACAATAAAGAATATGTTAAAAAAGGTTACTAAAAAGTTTGTTGCTAATGATCCAGTAATTTGCATCCAAAAGGATCCTATAAATTTCTTAACTTGATTAAATAGGTTTGAGTTTCTATATGTGCCTGTGTTTTACCAAAAATTAGAAAGTCAATAAGATAATATGGCAAGATAAAAATAGAATAAAACTTATGATGGAGGACCTCTCCTAGACGATCAAAGGCTCCAACACCACCACCATATAAAGTTGAGAAGACCGCATACCAAAGTTGAGTGTCCATGAAATAAACCTGTAATGAAGATGTAAATAATGAGATGATACACCGAGATAACTGTCCAAGAGAAAAGAGTAATTTATGTAACCATAACCATGATATAACATACACACCAAAAGTACAGGAGCCCAGAGTGCAGCCACTGCACCATAGTTATTTTTAGCTGCATCCACTTGAAAACATTAGATCAATATAATTAACAGAAATATACAATGTAATCATGAAAAGGAGAAGAAACTACCATAGGGAAAAAATTCATGCCAGCCAAAATTAACATGTCGAATGCTCATTATATCCTTTGTTGGCCTAACTAGAGGTTTTATCTGAAGATAGATACAACAGTTAGAAAGATACCCAATAAATTTTCAAGACTAGCTTATTAGGTAACAACTACAAACATATAAGATTTTTACCTGGACGAAAAAACTGAATAAAAATTTGCAAGTCAAAAGCAGCAACCAGAATATAGTGTACCTGAAATTCATGAAAGAATCTAGATAATGGAACAATTTTCAAACAATAAACAAAGGAGAAATAATATACAACCTCTGTTCTTATTTATAAGACCCAACTCAAAACAATTGTTTGTTCTTTTATAAGACTCAATTCTTATTGTCTCATATATTAATTATTTTAAAACTGAAGTACCCTAATTAAAATGTGTTCTCTTAATTTGGTAAAATACATTAATTATAAATTCTTTAAAGAGCATGCATTCTAATTGATTAAGACAAAAATGAATATTAATTAGGAAAAAAAATAGTATATGACAGGTACACTAGTTGATTAGAAGATATAGAGTATTAATTAGGAAAGTGAAGTAGTATGAGGGTAGTTTCAGAAAAAGAAATATATATAAATTCGACAAATTTATTGTTATCAACTAAATTAACTACTTTTCTTAATCTTGGTGAATTAGGTAATTGAGTCTTATATATAGGAATGGAGGTATTATTATTTTAGTAAATAGTGTTGTGTCAAACATACTTTAGGAGAGCAAATTGACTTTCATGCATTCCTCTTCCTACATAGATTCTTGGCTGCATGAGGAAAAATGAACATTTAAAAAATGGACAAATGATACCCAAAGAATTCAAATTATTGATACAAGTACAGAAAACATATGTTTTTTTAAAAGATGGGCCGTTACTATTTCATAGTATTCACACATTTAAAAAATAAAGACTTAAAACAAAAATTAATGCTACAACTCAGATTCTTTAAGAGTTAGACCATAAATGTTGGCGTTATGAATGTACAAAATCATGGTCAATAATACAATAGTCAATTCTGGGAAAATTATGTCCTAAGAGTATCAAAGTTCTAACCTTAAACATTCTCACCATTCACCAAAAAGATACTGTAACAAAAAAATGTATCATAGCTAATCTTTAATTCTTTATGTAAATTTATGGCAGCTCATTAGGTAAATTATTTGCTACGAAAAGTTGGCTGAAATGGACTCCCAAGCAAGTAGAAGAAAACCTCTGATCAGAAGAGGCAAACTATTAAAGCAGAAAAGTGCAATTTTTACTTGTCTCTGTGGGTGTATAATGTATCAAAGAAGAGATCAATTGAATCTAGTGTATGCCTAAATCAATCTTACAACACTGAGTAGCATTTTATCGCATGACGTTTTGACACAATCAACCATTAGATTGAAATTTTCTAACATGTAGATCATAGCCATAAAATTTCATGCAAGTCCAAAATTGTTTTGTTTTCGTTACTTCTTCCGGTCCTTATTGTAAGATACTTTTGACCAAATCACACAGATCAATGTAAGTAGTTTTGTTAGTTAATTTAATTGGGTTTATAAAACAAAATCATAATATACTAACTTTACCCTTCTTACTTATCATTAAATTTTCATGGGTGAGGTAAAAATATTAAACCATATCAAAAACTATCCACCAATACCAATAAAATTGATAAATGACAACTGGAGAGTCTACAAGGTGAGAGGATATTTATTTCTCAAATTCTCTCTCATTATCCAGCAACAAGAACACACTCTCACAATTTTTAATAGGAGCAAAAGATGAAAAATAAAATTAATGTTTTCTAGACATTGTAAAGTACCTTATAAAAAGTACCACCATTTCCTTCTAAATTGTGGGCATGGTTTGTAATATATACTTTTCAAATATATAAAACTGAACAAAATTTGATTGATATGATGGATTTTTACTATTAGAGTTGAAAGTATAAAGTTATTGCATGTTTTAGAGTCGAATACCTTAAATAGGAAAGAAAAGTAAATAAAATAATATAAAATAAAACAACCTTCAAATTAGTGCTTCACTATGAATTTCTACTAGATGTTAATTGTGTGTGTGTGTAACTGTATGTATGCATTTTGCATAAAAACTACATGCTTTAAGGTCTTGAAGGATCATTCCTACTGGAAAAGTCCTTATTAGGAAATTAGCTGTATGCTCTCCACATTACAGATATCAGTCATATCAATTTAAACAAAATTAACCTAAACAACTGTTCCCACTTATTTCTAGGCTCTGTGCAAATTTTAGTTACTTTTAGAATAACCAGTAATTACATTGAAAGAAGCTCTTTACCAACAGAATCATTTAATGAAAACCATGAAGCTCTTTACCTGAGACCACCATAAGAAGAGTCTAACAATGAGCCAGTCTGAGTTTTCTATCCAACGCCTTAGCATTGGGAAAAGAAACAGAATAGCTGTTAGTAAATTTGGAACCAAATATAATGCAACTGCCAGCATGTACAATGGTGGAATGCCTTTTATTTGATTGAAAAAGGAAAGCAACTGCTTCAGACCCTCAGGTGCCCCATTGAAGGAATGAACATAGAAGAGTGGAAGAATGATAACCCAAAAAAGACTGACAAAAACTTTCAGAATATTTCTCAGCACATCAGTGAATTTCCATCGATGATAGCCTGGAAAGTTCAGGATCAGGTCCAAGATACCTAAATCATATAAAGAGAAATATAAATGATAGTAAATTTCTATGAACAAGGAAGAAGATAAAAAGAACAGTCAAAAAGGAAAAGGAAAAGTTATTATAAAATTTGGATCTACATCAATATTAAAAAATGAAGGAAAATAATGTAGAAAATAACAACTTATCTTTTGTTTCCAAAATGAATGATGTTGTAAATATCACAGATATTTAGGAGGTCAAAAACATCTCAAAATATCTTTAGATATTTGCTTCCCTATTGTTTTTTTATTGTAATTTCCTAATTTTTTTTATGCATAGTCATTTAATCTATCTACTCACTGCTCCTACCACCACCACTACGACCATCAGTCAGACTAGGAGGTGCAAATTCCCTTTGCTGGCCAGAAAAAATAAAATAAAATGATGTGCACTGTTCATGTGTTACTGTCCCACTTGACAAGCCACCACAAAAAGGCTCATTGGCAACATCTCTACCTGTTTCAGGGCTTATTCTACACAGGATGCGTATCATGTCTTCCAGAACTACACCAACACATTCTCCTTTTTTCTTGACTATGCTTTTTAGAGTCAATCATTGCAAAGTTGAACCCATATGTCCATATTACCTAGATTCTATCATGGTTGAAGAAAAGGTAATCCCTCTAAGTCCCCATGACCTTAGTAAGCTTTTTGGCTCTTATTCTTTGACCACGAAGGATAAGAGTTCTCTAAATATTTATAGTTATATTTCCCAAGATATTTGGATCCTTGGTTTTGGGGAAATAGATGATATGACCCCAATCTCCTCACATTTTACACCATACTGTAGAGGATTTGGAAAGCAACTCATTACATTTGTCAATGGAGATCATGTCCTATTATTGGATGTGACGACAATTTGAGCCCTCTTTATCTTTATACAATGTCCTCCATGTTCCTAAATTGGCTAACAATCTTATCTTTGTACACAAGCTTACAAAAATATTATGAATTGTAACAATTTTTTTTCATTCTCATTGTGTCTTTCATAGAAGAGCAGGGTGGGTTATACTTCCAATTGAACATGAAAGTTGGTGATGGTACCAAAAAGAACAAAACAGTGTTGTCTTCTAGTCAACAAGCAACCACAAAGACTTGGGCAACCTCCCAAATTTGGCTTCACCATAGGCATCTTGGATCTCTACCATTGAATTTGCTTAAGACTTTATTTCCTCTTTTGTTTACAAAAGGGTCTATTGAGTTCTTTCATTTAATTTTTTCAAGTTTTTAAGTATCATGATGCATCCTTTTACCTAGTAATAATAAAAGTGTTACTCCTTTTAATCGTGTTCATTCAGATGTATGTATGGGGACATGTAATGAATATGTTTCTGATGACTGGATGGTTTGTAACTTCCATTAATAATTGTACTTGTGTGACGTGGAGTTACCATATGAAACATAAATCCAAAGTTAGTCAAATATTTGTCAATTTTTTTCATCTTGTCAAAAACCAAGTAAGTCCATTAAAAGAATCAAGTTAGACAATGGTACTTAATATGTTAACCTAGAAATTTCTAAGTTTGATACAGATCAAGTTATTATCCATAGGTGAACTTATAATATTAATGCCTCCAACAAAATTGGGTTGCCGAGAGAAAAATTTGACACGTTATCAAGGCTCTTCTCTTTCAATTATTCTTTCAATTAGTCAATTAAACACATGTTATCATTTTTCCCTTCTTTACCCCTACCGTTGAGTCTCTTATGTTGTGTTTGGATGTGTTGCATTTGTCTGTTCACACAGTCTCCATCATGGCAAGTTAGACCCAAGATTTGTTAAATGTATCTTTATTGGTTACACCTCAAATAAAAGGGCTACAAGTGTTATTACTCTTAGAGTTGTCAGGTTTTTATATCAATGAATGTCACCTTTCATGAAACAAAATTTTTCTTGGTCAGCCCTTAGTTTTAGGGGGAGAGTATTCTACTAGCCTCTTAGGGTCATTTACCTTTTTCTTGTCTTAGCAACATGTCCAAGAAGCACATAAGATCACAATGAAGCAAAAAAGGAAGATTGGTTCTTTGGAAAGAAATAGCGAAGGTGAGAAAAACTCACTCAAAACCCACAATGAATTGTCTAAACTGGACATAATATACAAATCATGAGGATGATAATGATATTGACAAAGTTGTTGATGATATGCCTATTAAAAGGAAAAGATCATGTGTCAGGTATCTCATTTCTCAATTTGTTTCTATTGATTGTCTCTCTTTCCAGCATCAAAGCTTTATTGCAACCATTGATGCAATCAAAACATCTTCATCATTTCAAGAAGCTATGAAAGACAGAAATTGGGTTCAAGTCATGAATGAAGAGATGGAGACATTAGAGAGAAACTCAACTTGCAAGATTGTTGATAAACCCAAAGACAAGAAAGTTGAAAAGTACTGATGATTGATATACACACCAAAGTGTAAATCTGAGAGGATATTAGATCAAAGCACAAGATTGGTGACAAAGGATACACATAGACCTATGGTGTTGACTATGAGGAGACATTTGCCTTTATGGCAAAAATGAATATAGTAAGAATCATTCTCACCCTAGCTGCCCACTTTGGTTGGGACTTGTTAAATGTCTTCTTGCATGGAGACTTCCCTTGGGATTTGAATCTCACAATGGAAAAAACAAAGTGTATGTAGGTTTGAGAAGGTTTTGTATGGCTTCAAACAATTTCTTTTACCATGGTTTGAAAGATTTACTCAAATCATATATGATGCATTAGGAATACAAACAAAGTCAAGGTGATCATACTCTATATATGTGCTTTGTGTAGTGTATTGTAGATGATGATGACAAAAACTAACCTTGAAAGAAATGCTGATAATTCATTTCAAAATAAAGGAGTTGAGAAAGCTAAAATATTTCCTTGGAATAAAGGTTGCCTATTCCAAACAAAAAATAAAGCATTTTAATTCCCCAAAAAAAATGACATTCTTGACCTTCTTAAGGAGACAAGTAAATTAGGATGCAACGAGGGTGTCCATTGGGCAGAACCACAAGATTGGAAGTGAAGAAAGTTCACCTGTAGCGAAATCCCAATACCAAAAATTGGTGGGCAAACTAATATTTCTATCTCATACTAAGTTGATAATATCTACATTGTTAGTGTAGTCAATCAATTTATGCATGACCCACATGAGAGTCTGAGACACACCTTTAGGTAGTAGAGATGATCCTTCATTATTTGAAGGCAAGCACGAGAAAATGACTATTATTTAGAAAAGAAGACTCATTGTACATGGAGATATACACTAATGTTGATTATGTAAGTCAATCATACATAGAAGATCCACTTTTGGTTATTGCATGTTTCTTGATGGAAATTTGATAACATGGAGGAGCAAGAAGCGGAATGTAGTTATTCATTTTAGTGCAGAAGCTGAGTTTCAAAGCTATGATGTATGACATATGAGAAGGATTATTGATGAAAATTATTCTTGATGACCTCAAAGCTAAATATAAAGGTCCCATGAGTTTTTGTGATAACAATTCAGCTATTAGCATTGCTCGTAACCAATCCAACAAGACAGAAGAGAACACAAAGAGATTGTCAGACACTTAAAGAAAAGTTGGATGGTGGCCTTAGTTACAGCAAAATGCCTACATAACTTCAAGTGGAAAATGTCTTCACAAAAGGACTTCCCAGTGCTAGATTCCAAGATCTTAGTAGCAAGTTGGGAATAATTGATATCCACTTGAGGGAGACTATTTAAATATTGTAAACATTTAAGAGGTAAAAAATATCTTTAAATATTTGTTTCCCTATTTCCTTATTAATGTTATTTCCTCATTTCCTTTCTTTTAAACATAGTCATTTAACAGATAAAAAAGGAGATTAGTGAACGTACAAAATATACAATTAATACAAAATCCTCTCATTTCAACTAAATTTTAGTATGACACAGATTCAGCAAATTAATTAGCCCAAAAAATATGATAGAATAAAGTGTCAACATTGAAGAAAACGATTTCTTCACTCAATATAAAATATTGAAGGTAAACTTTGTAGATAGAATCTGCAAGGTAGAGATTGATGGTCTTTAGAGTCACTACCAAACTATTAAACATGTAAATTCTCAATTGACATAGCTGATTGATCTTATATAAGTTGACATTACAGAATTTCTTTTCTGAATAAAAAACTTAAAAATTGATAGGAAAGATGTGCAAGGAATAACTCATGCATGCACCTGACTTGCCTAACAGGGAAATGAAGGAGGCAAAGAACCCTGACAACATTCTTCAATTTCAGGTGGAATTTGTCATGCCAAAAAACCAAAATATAATTCAGCGCTATCTTGCTTCTCATATCACTTATGAAGTTTGTACTGCTCATATGACATTTTCATGCAACTTCCAGTATATGAAATGTCAAGCTTTTTGAACTAATAAGATAATCAGACCATCAATATAAAATGATTGCTACTAGAGATCCTGATAGTAGAGGGTGATAAGTTTACATAAACAAGAGCAACTTAAGTGAACATATCATACTTTGAAGCAAGCGCAGAATGGATGCTGTGATGAATATACTTGAGAGATTATATAAGACATCCTTCTGAAATATATCTGATAGCAAAATCCCTTCCCAAGCCATAATGAACATCACCTGTAATAAGAATGCTCAAGCCTTGTCATAACCCATAATAAGGGGGGAAATATAGGCACATAAGCATTTCCTCTGGTTGAAATAAATACCTGCAAACCCAGTAAGAAAAAGGTCCACATACGATCAAAGCTGTGGAAGGTGTGCCAGAATGATCGTGTCTCAACAAAATTTGATTTGCAAGTTTTTCCAGATTGTCTTGGAGCACCCTTTCTTCCCTGATACAAAATTGATATAAATACTGAAAATAATGTAAATAACAACCATGGCAGTAGCTTCTTAGGATGTAAACACCTGTGTTAAATCACTTGTTGATTTAAAGAATTCACCATCATCACGCATGGGCCATCCAAGAGAAAAGCATTCAGATGACCTGCAAAAAAATATACATTGTAAATTAATAAATGATTAAGCAAACCAACAAAGTCAATTTCAGTAATAAAATCCTAAAGAAAAACCAACCAGAAATACTCATTTAGATCATCATAGTTGCACCATGCTGAGTGTGGAGCCTTTCCATGTCTGCTCTTCTTGGCTTCCTAGAATAATTAACATGATTAATAACTTTATAAATCATTGATTGTATAGAGAATAGATACCTGAAGTATTATGATGATGTCATGGGAGACATAATCTTACTTTTTCAATTACTCTGTACAGGGGAGTTATAACCTTGAGAAGGAATGCCTCATCATCACCACCATAAGAAGGCTTGATATTTTCACCGGTAACAATGCTGACATTTCCAGCCAATAAACCATGCAGTTCATATGCCATCTGAAGTTTTAGTTGGCCATTATTAGCATATGCAAAAATCACAAATAAATTGAACAAGATTAAAAGAGAAAACAACTACATAGCATTTTCAAAAGCATTATAGCACAAGATATTATGGAACACATGGAAAGTGTACTCACATTGTGAAATATGTAGCATAGACACTCTGGCATGAAGCGAACATTGGCCGCTTCACCCCAGATAAGAAGATACAAGCCCATATAAAGCAACTTCCTCTGCTGTATCTCTTGCTGTCCTTGAGGAAGTCTGTGTGAAAGAACACCATAAGAACTTTTAACAAAAAAAAAATAGATTTTCACTGACACTGACATTATCATATCTCACCTTAAACTATGTTTTCGTCCCAAGAATTTGCACCATGTTTTGTAATTCTTAAAGAGATTTTTCATCACTGAATCCACAGCACGATCATCAAGCTGTGATTTTGATAAAACCAAAAGGAAATGAGAGGAAAAAAGAACACAGAATTTAACTTCCGGCCAAAGCAAAGCAGGCTAAGGCTACCCTGATAGATAAAAAATTGATAATGTAATTTTGACAAGAGTTCTCTTGATTTTCGTTTTATCTTTATTTAGTCCATTACGCTTTTGCCCAAAATAGTAAAAAATGAGAGACAGACACTTGCCAGGTTGAAAGGCTCGGGTTTAGGGTGTAGCCTTATATGAGAGTTAGCTAGAAGCAAAATCAGATGCTCTCTCTGATTCCTGACGTTGTCCCTCTGTGCCAAAAACAAACCAAACATATTAACAATTTAAGGAGGCCATACAAAAATCTAGTCATTCATAAATCATTCTGTTCACGTGCAAAATACATGCCTGGAAACCAAACATGGCTTTGAGCCAATCAAGCATGTCTAGATCTCCGGTTTTATGCCTGTGTTGCTCGACTGAAGAAGGCCAGTTCAAGCCACGAGTATTCCAAAGCGCAGAAACAGCAGCCTTAATCTAAAACAACGAAAGAAAGCCAAAGAAATCAGTGCAATGAAAACTAAAACACAAAGACTCCACACATGAACCGCTTAAAAAGCAACACCTCTTCAAATTGCATAATAGGCACGGAAGCACCAGCAGCATCCAGAGGAAGAATATTGTAAGGCGTATAAATCTCCGTCTTCGCCTGGACATCTCTGGCAGCCGCGATAATCTGCACACACAAATTGATATTGAAAAATGGAACAAAATCCCCGAACAGAACTGAAAGGGTAATGTGAAACGAGACGAACCTCAGGAGCAACTTCTTCGACCTTCTCAGTCTTGTTAACGGCACAAAGCACTTCGAATAGTACCCCAGCAGTCTGGTAAGCTTTGCTGAGCTGGGCTCTGCAAATTAATTTCGATTTCAAGGTTAGAGAATTGAAACGGAATTCATCGTAGCGAGCATGAAAGTTCACGCTTAGCAATAGCATGTATGTACCTGTCAGCCTGATCCGCTTGGTCGAGAGTTCTGACATAATGTTCATAATATTGCTGATAATAGGACTGAATTTCCCTCGCATCTGTCTTCTTAAGCCGAGAGGCCAGACTAGTTGGATTGTCCTATTGCACGGGAAAAGGTAAATCTTGGGACCAAGGTATAATAATAAGAAATTTTTTTAAAAAAAATACACTTCTTTTCTCCTTAATCCATTTTTGTTTTTATTTTCTTATTTTTGATTTTTCATATCCCTCGTTATATCTTCCAAATTCTTTTTTGTCCATAGTATCCTCTTTCTACCTCAACTCCATTTAGTTAACAATTTATCATCGCAACTTAAAAAAAAAAAGAAGAAGAATAAATAATATTTGCACAGTATAATTTTCCTTAAAAACATAATAGTGATATATAAACACTTCTCTTTATACATTTAATTTACACGTTTTTTTAATCATACTTATATCAAGGGACTAACAAAAAATACTTATACTCATTCACTAATAAACAATAAGTCCCTTTAAATTTTCTCCTTTAAACATGTAGTAATAAATTTAATCTAACATTTATATTTATATGAATTTTAGTACTTCAAAATATTAGGCCTTAATTTTCGAGTGAAAATACTTTAATTGCATTGTACGTTATTCTTTATTTATTTTTATTATTTTTCTTTGAAAAAAATTTACACACCAATGATGTAAAATAATTATACATTATGATCTAATTATAAATATGATTTACAATAAATTTACTAACTACTTTACAATAATTTTCTTAAAAAATTATACTAATCCTAATATTGGTCGTCTCATTAATCCTTATTTCTTTATAATGAGACCTTTTATGCACTTCAATATGTATATTTATTTATTTTTAAATTTTTCTTAAAAAATAATATAATTATATAACAATTATGATTGTAATAATTAATTCTAGTTAAAATTTGTTTGACCCATAGGTCATAATTATTACATGCAACGTATGTGCGAAGAACATCACTGACTCGCTGAGTTGGTTTGCGCTGCGATTATTATTATAAACTTGAAAAAAAGTAGCTCTCCCTTACCCGCTCCAATCGCTGCAGCAACAACGTCTTAAACTGCCTGACGCCACGGCCGGTGGAACTCTGGTCCAGCCTGTGAGCTTTCTCGAAGGCATAGAACCTACCTGCACTCGTTCATATATAAATACGGTTCATCAATGTAGCAACAAATAAATTAACAATCACAAGTCACAAGCAACGGTAATTGATTGATTGATGGATTGATTCATACAGAGATATGAAACCCTGGGACGCTCGGTCTCGATCTCGTTGGCGACTCTGAGAATTGGCGAGATGGTGGCGAGGGAGGAGGGCACGACTTCGTTATCGAACACCTCCATGGAGAACGTCGTCATGGCGGAGCTCCTGGACGGCCGCCGATTCAGCGTCGACGGATCCTGGCTGGACGACATTGTTCCTCTCCACCGCCTGTGTAGGCAATTGAGAAATGGTGATTAATTTTCTTGGCAAGCGAAACGAAAAGAACGGTTGCGATTGACATTGATTTTGCATTGTTGGCGGAAAATGTACCTGTTCGGTAAGCCGGGAAATCAAAGTATCAAAATCTTGGAATTGAGTTGATGGTTGTGCATAACGCTGGTGCAGCATTGATCATGGTTGTGAGTTGTGAGTGCGAGAAGAAATGAATAAAGATTGGAAGAGAGAATTAGGTAATTGAGATGTGATAGTGAGAAGGAGCGGAAGAACAGCAATTCCGAAGGCAAAGGGTAAGAAAGTAAGATAGTGAGAGAGAGTGCATGCGATTCAATGGAAGTCCGTTTTCCTCTTCTTTCCTATTTCAAACTCACCATTAACTATATATTTGGGAACCAACTTCCTTCCGCGCACTTATGATCACTAATAATGTATCATGCAGCTGCGCGCACCAGAAATAATTCACATACCATATGCATGCTACTTCCAAATTCTTTCCGCTTATACTTATTATTATTCAACTTACTTTAATTCTTAGAATTCACAAAATATGTGCCAATTCAAAATAAATAAAAATTATTTTTTCCAACTGAAAAAATATTCAGTTTCAATTAATCTGGACTGCTACTATTAATAATAAAAAAAATCTATAGACTATTTTTTTTTATATACATATATATGTCATATTATTAAATTTTATATTTATATATATTAAATTAAAAAACAAAAGGATTTTTAGACTTCAATAACTTCTTATACATGATAATTTTGTTACTCTTATGATTGCTGTATGTTTCTTGGTGACTAATGTGGTTTACTCAAGTAATTAATTTATATCAGATTATATGCTAATTGAGCTAATATATAATTTATTTTTCAATTGCATAAGTTATAGTGTATATAAAGATGTCTTTTGAATTTCTCGTGATTGGCCTCAATACTATATATATTTTTTTTTGTATTGATTATTTTTCAAACATTAAGATCTAGCGCGCGACTGGTAAGATACTTAAAATAGTTGCTTTCTTTTTTTTTTTTTATAAATATTTTTATAGTTTATAATTGTGACATTTATGTTATTTGATTATTTATAATTTTTTACTTGTTATATTATTATTAATTAACAACAAACAAATAAAAATGCATCAAATAGGTCTCATATATATTCTCAAACACTTATTGATACATAATAAAGATTTGATAATATTCATCTAGACTAAACATAATATTCTCATAAGTCAAAAAGTGTTTGTCTTGTTAAACACATTTCTCTATGATCAAATTTTGAAAAAAGTAATATGAACATTACATAATAATAAAAGATCTTTAATACATTTTGAACGATAATATTCTTTTATTTATAAATATTTATATTTCATTTTTAGAAGATATGTTTTTTCTTTGAAAAAATATATTTGAACATTTATTAACTTAAACATCAAAATATTTTTTTAATTACAATCGATCTTAAAAATCGACCATCAAAAACTTTAGATCGAAGCCTTTGAGATATTTCTAAACAAGTAAAAAAAAAAAATTACAACACAACAAATCAAACTTCATATAAAAACTGAAGGAAAATGTATTGGAATGCAATATTATGTGTATATTATACTTAGTGATAAACATGCAAAGTAATAATAAAATAAATGGTGAAATGTACAATATAAGATAACCAAAATTTTTTAAAAAAAATGAATCAACTTATAAACACATTAGAATCTCTGATTAATACGTCAACGTCATCAACATTTCTAGCTACAATGAAATACATGTGCCGGGTCCTCCATGTTTGCCTCTCATCCTCTTCTTGTCTCTCTCATTTGGAATTCCATGATCATTTAAGTCTTAATTACGGTCAAAAGTAAGAGATGTTGACTAAATACCAAAAGTTTCTCCCCAACTAGTTCACATAGATTTTAAAGAATTTTGACTTCACTCCATCTTTCACGTCCAGTTTCTATGCTAAATCATCCACATATTATATTAATAAATATACAATTCACTCCAATTATATGCATTTTGTTATGAATTTGCTTGACAATAGAAACTAGATGTAATCTATATCACAATTTGTTAGCCGCGCTTATAGTAGAGTACTTATACTTGGTGTAAAAAAATTATGTATGTGATAATATAATGAATGACGTAACAGAGAGGTTAGATGAGATGGAGTGAATTCAAATTAAATTCTTTTACATGTTACGTGAATTAATCATGGAGAAGCTTATGGTGTTTAGCCAATGTATTTCATCATTAACATTAAAATTCAATATTAATACAATCAAGATGATCGGTGGTCCAAATGAAAGTGACAAAAAGAGAATAAGACAAATATTGAGCTAATTCAAAGATGGTCAAGGAAGTCTAAAAATGAGAAAATACCATTGCAAACCTAAAAGTCATTGAATAACTAAATGCAATTATTAACAAGAGAACCATAGCTAAATACAATTACTAGTACAACGGGGTTCTAAGGATCAAATAATTGGATTTTTTATAATTACTATAACTAGGTTTTTCATGATCTATATTCATTGATTTAAACTAAGTGTGACCATTTTACATTTAGTGAGGCTCCAAAGCCAAACATGATGTTCTATGTTGTGGCGTTGAACGACGTAGTAGTAATGGTGCTAAGCACAAGACCTCTATAGAAAGTGTTTTGATATTTTGTGTTGCAACACTAAACGTGACTTTATTTGTGCTAAGTACGAGACCTCTTAATACTAGTGTTTGATACATTATGTCATATAATTTGAGCATGTTAAGCAGTGGGTCAGTTGCACTTAGTGTAGTCTTATTGGCATTAAGTACGGGATCCTTGAGATTAGATCTGTCCTTATTTGTTTTCTCTTGTTATGTACTCATATTATTCATATTTATGAATGATAAATGACTACAATATGGATGCATTTGACACATGCTAAGTTACAACACAATAATTGCTTAAATTATAAGAAAACTTTTTTTTTTATCATGTGTTATTTGGTGTACTGTAGACAACACAAGTAAAGTAATATAAAATCTAATGCATTACCTTTATGACTAGTTATCCTAATATCTTTTATATTAGTTATTTATTTTTATATATAAAAGTATAAATAATTTTTGGATTATTTTATCCCTTTAAGTTATAACCACATCTTATTCATTCCAAACCTTCTTCTTCAATCACTTATATTATTATTTCTATTTTTTAAAATTGAGAGGCATAAAATATTTTTTACACTAGTTTTAATGTAACAATAATGATAGTAGTATTGGTATAGTGACAATAATAATGACAATTGCATCAATAGTCAATGTGGTGATGATGATGATGGTTGTAAAAGTGATGTGGAAGTGACAATATATTAGCAATGATACGATAAAGATAAGAAAAAGAGAACATAGTTATCGAATAAAAAATAAGTATATATATTTTTATCTTTTCAGTATGTCGTACTTAGGATAAAAAATAATTGACTCATGATTTATTAAGTAACAAAAAGTTAAGTTTTTTTTGTTATGTCTATTTTCTCATAATTTGTGTTTTCCCATAATCAATTTTTAAATTAAACTTATAATAATTATTTTTATGGTATCTAGGATCGTGTAGTTTAGCAAATCAAACATATATTATGTGTTAAAGATGATAAGTCTCCTTTTTATAAGCAGAGTACTCACCCATTAAATGATGACAAGAGACAATGTTAATAAGAAAACATACGTAAGACTTATGACCCTCTTTTGAAAAGGAAGAGCTTTTATCCTCTTTAATACCTAAAGAGAGGTAAGAAAATCATAAAAATGGAAAGATGTGTATGGCAAAGAACAAAAAGGATGCTTCTTGTAGATTGTTTAAATCAACCATGTAGAGCATTAAAAAAAGAATATACATATATATATATATATTGAATGCATGCTAAATTCAAGATAAGTTTATATGATTTTTTTTATATCTTGTTCTGTATAGGGATGGAGTTGTATTACATGTTTTATTTTATTTTTTGCTGAATAAAAGGGGCTAGCTAGACAGCCCAGACAAAACAGAGGAAGCTACTTAACTAAAGACAACGTTAGAGTTGTTCTGCTAAAAGGTCCAGAGTGATTAAAATATGAACTAACACTCCAAAATTTTCACTCTCTTTACCAACTTATCTTCTACTGCATTTTGATGCCTGTACAGGTGGTGGAGGTTTATCTCACAACCACCCCCTTTAATTTCCTGCTGTTAGTCCAATCAGTGACTGGATTCTGTTCTCATGAATTTGACGTAAAAATAAGAAATAATAATTTCTTATTTTCACGCTTTTTTACGTGAATTAAGTTATAGAAACGTGAAAACGTTTTCACGAATTTGACGCAAAAACAAAAAATAATAACTTTTTATTTTCACGTTTTTTTACGTGAATTAAGTTATGAAAACGTAAAAGCAAACATACACTCAGATTCTACCCAAATTCTATTAAGACCCTTTTCTAAGATTAATCCCTTTCATGTACTATATGTGATACCATCATATTTAATGTTAACATTAATTTGAGTCAATGGAGCAAATAGGCTATGGAGAAAATAAAATAAAAATGTTAGCATTTGACTCTGGCATCTAAAATCAAGTTATGTTTTGTAATTTATATATGAATTAATTACCAATATATTAATAGTGTAAAATTTTTTTTACACTAACAATTAATTATATCTTTTAATTGTATCATGTCACTATAAACACATTTATTTTTAATAGTGATATAACATAATTAAAAAATATAATTAGTTGCTAATATAAAAAAACTTTACACTAATAATATAGGTGATTAACTTTTTATATATTTATCATGGTCCAATAATATATCTTATCAATATCCCTAAATCCAAAGGTAGTTAAGAGGAGTTGATCTGATTCCAACATGTTTTATATTTCAAAAAGAAGGGGGCCCGTATTGGATGATGTTGCTGGATATTAGTTGGGGTTTGTCCTTTTTGTGAAGAAAAGCAAAAGCTCCCACTTTTATTTATTATTTATTATTTTTTAAAATTCGCAGGTTTTAAGAAAAATGACACTGCACCTGCACAAAGTAAAATAGCAAATTCCCCATAAAATAAAACTAAAAGAGCAGGATGAGCTTTTACGTACACCATACGCCACAAGTTTGGGATATCTAAGTTGCATTCCACATGGCAACTTTCATGCTTTGCTTTTTATAAGGTGACTTCGCTTTAGGCTAACTTTTTATCAATTTTTTTTTAATAAATTATCACTATTTTTCATCCATGACAACATTGTTTAAATTGAATAAGGTTATTATTAGTAACAAAACTGTCCATCCAAGTTAACACAACTATATAATCATTATTTTAAACCCATACAAACTCATGGTAAGCATTTATCTCAATTAATTTATCTTTTTTCAAATGAAAGGAGCAAGCGCATGTTATCCAACTTAAAAACAAAATTAGAGTTGCCTGCTAACAGGTACCTAATTTATCACGTTTTTAATAAAAAGGAGGAATGATATGATTTTTTACGAGAGAAATTACGACGGTACCAGAGAATTAATTAACCTCGTAATTTGACTTGTGATAACGTGGTAATTCTAAGCTTTAGTAAACTCTTTTAAATTAATTAATTTAAATTATATATATTATTAGTTAATACAAACAATAGAGTATCAAAGGTGACTATCGAACAGTTAATCTTCCATTAAAATATAGTTAACAAAAATTATACAATTTACGTATAAGTACGTGATAGTTAGGCATAAGTTGAAAAGGCTGTGTAAAAGAGCATTAATTTAGGTACATCAAAGAATTAATATCTCAAGCGGATATGGGTTGACTTAAGTAGCAGTGGACTTTTGCAAAGGACACATCAAAGTAATATATATATTCCCACACTTGTCCCCTCTTGCATTGCGTTCAGAATCAAAACCAACTGAAATGTGTGCCAAACTTCACAGTTAATACAAAGTTGACTAAGTAATCGCTACAAATGGTTAAATATTCCATATGAATTTAGTAGGTAACTCTTCTCAAAATTATATATCCCTCTTAACAATTTCAACATGTCATTAATTATACCCTATGTAATATCCTATTCCATAATATTCAGATCTCAAAATTCTTTAATGTTAAACTCAAAAATTACTCCTCGTTTTGGTTATCTTTGCAAATGGTATCACCATGTGTCCATTTGTTTAAGTTTCCAGACACTTGCTCATGACATGATCACTAACTAAAAAATTCGGTTGATTTGCGGGAACCAAAAAAAAAATTGTTTTTAATTCACTACGCAGGAATTTTATGCTAAAAGTTCAAGCTAAGTTTTTTAAATGCTTAATGAAGCATTTCTTTGGGCACCGTATATGAATTTGTTGCTGAAAAATCAATCCAAATCACGAATGAATAGTTATTAATGAAGAGTCATATTATTCTTAATAAATAGAAAGATTTGTGGTGAAAGTAGTAGTTACCAGTAAAGAAGATTGAGAAGAAGATCACTACCACCTAGAGAACGGGTCATCACCCATTATGAGAGAGGGGGTCATCATCCTATGTAAAAGGAGAGTTTATATGATATCTATTGAGATGTTTTTGTGAATGTAAACAAAATATGTTAAACTCGTGTCTTTTTTATTTTATATTTGTGTTGTATTTATTTGTGTCTATATTTTTGTCTCCATTATGTGTGAAGGGGACTTTTTTTTTCCTAATACTTACATATTGAAATATCGAAATACACAAATTAATCAATTAATTTCATTAGCATGTTGTGGAAATTATCGACAAACTTGAATTATACTAACAACACTAAAGTTAATATTTCTAAATGCACATAGATAATTTTATTGGAATTTATTGATAGTGTAGAGTTTTTTTCTTCTTCTATTATTTAATTATTAATTATCATATAATATAAAATTTATAATAATTATTTCAAAAGAGTATGTACACATAATAATTTCTAACTTATTAGTAGGGGTGGGTATGCGGACCGGTCCGGCCTGTTTAAGGCCCGGTCCGCGAAGTCCGCATTTTTAACGGGCCGGATAAATCCGGTCTGCGAAATAAATGGACTTAAATCTTCAAGTCCGTATCCGGCCCGTGAAGCCCGCGGATAAACGGATAAGTCCGCGGGCCCAATTAAATCTAAATTGTTTAAATGAATATTGACTCAGATTTTAAATTTTTTTTCCTTTATTTAACCTATGAAAACATGAGGAAAAAAAAAATATAAAATGATATAAATATACTTCTAATAATAACATCAAACATTGTAAATAATAAATCAAAGTCTTAAATAACAAAGTTTACACATTCTAAATTTCTAATAGAAATATTTAAGTCTCAATGCCTTTAAAATTTAAAGTCCAAGCATACCAACTATTAACCAAATATTAAAGCCTTACTACCTTAAAACTTTAAAAGTCTTAATACACAACCAAACAAATATAAAACATTTCTAAGTCCAAGTACATCAAAGTCTAAATACCTTAAAACATCAAAGTCTTAATTAATATCTTAAAAACAAACATAAAATATTTGTAAGTCCAATTACATCTATCAAATATAATCAAGCATCTTCAATAATAAAATTTGAGTCCACATTTAAACGGGTAATCCGCGGGCTCGCGGATTAAATCCGTAAAATTCGCGGACTAAACGGACCAGACCTAAAAAGTCCGTATGATTATACGGATTAAAAAAAATGGGCCCGTTATCCGTGAAGTCCGCGGACTTACGGACCGGTCCGTGGACTCAAGTCCATATAGCCACCCCTACTTATTAGTGTATCTATAATTTCTTTTAATTTACTATAATTAATTGTTTTTTATGAACATTGAATTTCATCAATATAACAATTACTTGGACAAATTTTCGTAAGTAAATCAAATATATAAAATTTCATACAGTTTTAAAATTATTTAATATTTCGCATTTCAACATAGAGTATACTTTTAACGTATATATAAGAAAAAAGTTCGAGAATTTGATCCAAGTATTGTTTCTTTATTTTTTTAAGTTTTATCAACTAACTAGTATTTTATAAAATTAATTATTTAGACGTTACGTGCATGGGATGACACAAATGGTACCACTTGTGTGTCTCTTGGAGCTAGGAGGATCCCACTTTAATCTTTGGAATAAAAATCTTATCCGAAAAGAACTTTACCCAATTAGTTTTTCGGCTTAAGGGGGATGTATTATAATTTAGGAATTGACTGCACTCACTCGTGACATATTTTGTGATTTTCAAAGCCAAAAATAGTAGCGTATTGTCTTAATTTTAATTAATACAATTGAAAATTCTTAAAAAAAAAATGAATACAAAAGTTAAGGTTAAGAAGTGATAATGATTGGAGCGAGTAGTGAGCAGAGAGACATACGTCACGCTGAGGTGGGTGACGTATATGTACACTCCTCTACGCCGGCTTGCACCCGATGATTGCACCTGCGGAATCAAAAAAGGAAACCTAATCCATCACAATAAAACAAAGGAAATAAATAACAAAATAGACACCAACACCAAATCCACCCTCCCCTAATTTGTCCCAATCCACACGCTTTGCCCACAACTTCCTCTTCCACTTCCTCTTCTTCCTTCTCTACATACATACATACCAGTACAAATCTATACAAGATAAAACAACTTTCAACTTGGTACCACTACACTACTTCTTTTCCACTTTAAAATTAATAATCAACCGCACTAATTTATTTCCTGCACAATATATTACTTCTTCTGAACTTTTTATAATCAGTTAACTTTTTTTTAAGAAAGTTTAGAAAATTAGTTAATCCAGTTGATAACACAAAATTTATCTTAAATTTTTAGTATTTTCTCTTAAAGTTACTCTTAACATTAATTAGACACATACTCTATCGATATTTATATTGTATTTTCCATAAGTTTTATACTGTATTTTGATTTAGAAATTAGAAATGGCTCCGGAAAAGGTTGATTGTACTCGGACGCGTGGAAACGTAAAGCAGCGCACAATGACCAATGTGGATTCTCACCCCTTTCTGGACATATACTTTTATTATGTGTATTGTTCGAAAAATGTTATTCACGTGTATATAATAATAGTGACAGATAAAAATAGAAATAAAAAAGAAGAAGAAGAAATAATGCGATAATAGCGTAGAAATTAAGAGGAAATAGGAATATAATTGTGGAATTGATTTGATGTTAATGTTACGTTAGTGAAGAGAGGACTCCCCGTAGTCGTAGAAGAGAATAGGAAGAAGAGAAGAGGGGTTATAATAAGTAGTTATAGTAAAAGGAAAAGACGGTGGTTTATTAATTATTAGTGGGCTTCTTTCTAGTTTGCAATCCCTCTTCTTAGCTCTGTTTTGGGGGAAACTAGAATGCCGGCGTGGTGGAGTAGGAAGTGGAGCAAGAGCAGCGAGGAGCAGGATGAAGAGGAAGTGCCACGTGGCGGTCTTCAATTGAATTTCATCACCAAGACGAAGAACAGGAAGAATAAGAAGAAGCCCAAGAGCTTGGACGACAAGCTCAAAGGCCTTCCCTTACCTCGCCCACCCGATCAACCCTTTGGATCTCTTTCCATGTCTGGTTCCAGCGTCAGCTCCTCAACCTCCCTCGACGATCATCCAATTTCGCCTCACTTTAGTGCCAACAGGTTCCTCGCTTTGCTACTCTGTCTTTGCTCAATCATTCATCTTCTAAACTCTCCACTCATTCCTTCCCTTTTATTTCTCTCTCCACTGCCTTTTTTTCTTTCTATTTATTCATGCTTTCAGGAGTCTCTTCATGGAAAAATTAATTGACAGATACAACTTATCTTCCCTGCCTAATTTCTTCTTTAGATTTCTTATTTTGAGGGATTTAAATTGTGCTTGAGATCTCGGTTTGTTCGATCAAGGTTTTCCAAAACATCAAGGTTTTAGGGAGTCCGCAACTGAAATTCTGGCTCTATCGCTCGCATTTATTCGCAATTTCATACAATATCAAGGACACAGGAAGAAACTGTGACGCCGACTATAATTTAAAATCTTGGTTCTAGTCCTTCAAATTGAGAGAAATTGTGGACAAATACAGCCTCTGGTTGGTAGAAGAGAAGACAAAATCACGGTCCTGAACCGAATTTTAGAACTTTTTAACTTTTATTTTGAATTCTAGGAATATAGGGTATGGTACTGTGCTAAATGGTTCATATTATAATGTCTAATTCTTAGGGCTGATGGTGCTGTTAGAGAGGAATATGGAATGTTCAGGGTGCTTTTCCAGTCTGCTGCTGAATTAATCTACATGTTGTTTTGTTTATGCAGAGGACAAGATGAGGTGAGGTTGAATGTGAGGTCAAAGAGTCCAGGTCCTGGGTCAAGAGGACCTACAAGTCCTACCTCGCCGCTTCATCCAAGGTTGCATGCTTTGAGTCTTGACTCTCCTACGGGTAAGCAGGAGGAGGGAAGGAGTGAGTGTCATCCGTTGCCTCTTCCTCCTGGCTCCCCAACTAGTCCTTCTTCTGTGCTTCCCAACGCACGAGCAAATGGACAGTTGGAAAACGCTACCAGCAATGTATCCAAATGGAGAAAAGGAAAGCTTCTAGGACGGGGAACGTTTGGGCATGTATACCTGGGATTCAATAGGTAACTTTATTATTTAATAAATTATGAATTTAATAAAATCTATTCTTTGGATTTCAAATCAGCAGTTAAAGTTCCACACTTTACCCTCCAAAGTGTATTTCTTCTCGCTTTAGAGGTGCTAAATCCTAAGAACTAAATGCTGACATTAAAGTGCAACTATGTTTACATGTAGTTATTTCATCATTATTCTTTCGGAATATGTACTTCTGCCACAATGACCATATTCTGGACAAATTACCGATACCATTTATGTTCTGCTTGTTATGTTTGACAGTGAAAATGGACAAATGTGTGCAATAAAAGAAGTCAAGGTTGTCTCTGATGATCAAACATCAAGAGAGTGCCTCAAACAACTTAACCAGGTAATTCTGACATTTTCTCTAAAGATTTATATGTGATGCTGTAACACATAATATAGCACTTTCGAAGATCTTATTTGTGCTGTTGCCTTGGAGTTGAATATGTTCAAATAATTGGTTTATAGTTCACAAGGTTATAACACATTCTCTATTTGATTACAGGAGATAAATTTGCTAAATCATCTTTCTCACCCAAATATTGTTCAATACTATGGGAGTGAGCTGGTATGCTAGAATATTCTGAGTTTAAAATTGTTTTATCCATGTATATACCTAATATAGCTGTGTGCACACAGAAGAGAAATTGAAGAATTGCCATCATCATGCATATACCTTATATATATGTCATGTCTTCAGGTAGAAGAATCACTATCTGTATATTTGGAATATGTCTCTGGTGGTTCTATCCATAAATTACTTCAGGAGTATGGTCCATTTAAGGAGCCTGTTATTCAAAATTATACCAGGCAAATTGTCTCCGGACTTGCCTATCTGCATGGAAGAAATACAGTACACAGGTAATTTGATTATTCCAACTCAATTTATAAAAATAGCATTTAATCTTCTTTATTCTCTTTCATATTATCATTGTGTTTTTCTTTTGGCAGGGATATTAAAGGGGCAAACATACTAGTTGATCCTAATGGTGAAATCAAACTGGCAGACTTTGGAATGGCTAAACATGTACGTTCATCTTATCTTGTAAACAACAAATTGCTCCTAGCTCACTTAAGAAGTAAACTGCATCTATTGTTTCTGGTTCGAAAACTGATCAATGACACATGTAATATAAAATTAGATGATAGTTGTTACTTCAAAAGTATTTCTCTTGCTCAAGGTTAAAAGTTGCAATTCTACTGATTCTTAATAGCAGAGACATCCCTCTCTTGGATGCACATGCTCATTCTCACACATTTGTGCACTCCCAGTCTCTCACAGAGATCTAGTGAGCTGGCACAGCACACATACATCACTCACTCATGCAGGATGCATTCCACTCCCTCAAACACTAACTCTCAGTCTCTCTTCAGATTTTGTATTTTAATATTATATTTTACTGGTACAAAGAAATGTGATCTAGAGAGCTTAAAAAATTTAATTTCTGTTTTGATTGTTTTCTGTTTTCTTATGGTATGTATCTGAGGTTTTATGGTTCTGAACCAGATAAACTCTTCTGCCTCAATGCTTTCATTCAAAGGAAGTCCAAATTGGATGGCTCCGGAGGTAAATTGTTATTCCCATTCTTCACCAATTTTGAAATTTATTTTAAAGTGATCCAATTCTTCCATCCTCCCACTCTTCTTTAGGAAAAATTACTGTATAATGATATTTTATTTCTTAGGTTGTAATGAATACAAATGGCTATAGTCTTCCAGTTGATATATGGAGCTTGGGATGCACAATTATTGAAATGGCAACATCAAAACCTCCTTGGAGTCATTATGAAGGGGTGAGATATTGGATATTTCAGAACTAGCCTTTACTTGCATCTGTTTGATGGATATGAATGACCAAAATTGTTTTTTTGTTGGATTGAACAGGTAGCTGCCATATTTAAAATTGGGAATAGCAAAGATATGCCCGAAATCCCTGAGCATCTTTCAAATGAGGCGAAGAGTTTCATCAAGCTATGCTTACAAAGGGACCCATTAGCTCGCCCAACAGCCCAAAAGCTACTAGACCATCCCTTCATTCGAGATCAATCAGCAACAAAAGCTGCAAATGTCAGCATAACTGGGGAAGCTTTCACATACATGTTTGATGGAAGCCGGACACCGGTATACAGTCTTTGATATTTATTTATTTATTTGTTTTCTTTGAAAAGTTATGTTACTTGTAACATTCTAGTTCCATTCTCATAAAATTAACATGCTGCAATTGTCTTGAATTTTATATGACTCAAGATGTTATACTCACTTGATGATATGTAAAGATGATGTACAGTTACTTGATATAAACAGCCTTAGTTATTATCTATATTATGCCAAGTCACTATGATTCAATGTCAGGATATCACCTCATGGCATATGTAGGTTTTTTTGTGTCATGTATGTTGATACATTATGTAGTCCATCTCATGTATAGTATTATTAAACTCCAATGTAACTGAATGTAAATATGATGTATTATATATGAAGTGTTAAGTGAGAATCTTTACGTGAAAATTAAGTGTGTTTGTTGTTTGGTTGTAACTATAGAGTTAGAAACAGGTTTACACAGAGTGAAGGAAGAAAAAAAGCAGCGATTGTTTGTCACATGTATAGATTCATTGTTTTGTTTCTTTATAATAAATAACTTATAAAGCTACATACATTTCCTTTGGAATTTGATATTCTTGCTTTGCTTTTGCTAGTTGTTGGCTTGTTGCAATGTATGTGGAGGATCACCACTATTTTTTGAGTATATAATTGTTGTTTGCTGTCATGTCAGTTTGTCCAAATTCTTGTAAATTTTAGGCATGATACTAGATATACACCAAGTCCCTTTGGAACTACTTGATCCTGGGTTCAAACCTCAAACACTTGCATGCTAGCTTACCTGCCTTCTTATAACAGGTCTCAGACCTCTTTTGTAAGAAAAATAAAATAAAGATGACGCACTTATTTCTCGCACTGAATGATGTGATTTCAAAGTTGAACTTACTGAATTAGCTGTTTCTATTGCTAGTGTTGGGGGAGTTAACTTTTCTTCATTTGTATCTGTTTGCAGCCCGTGTTAGAGTCTCATTCCAATCGAACAAGTATAACACTTGATGGAGATTATGCATCAAGGCCAGCTGTTGCAGCTCCACGTGCATTAAGGAGTCCAAGGTGAAATTTCCACCTGTTGTTAATTATAATTAAGGAACGAGTTTGCATCTCGATATATTCATCACTTTTATGTTATTTGGACTGACATTCTTTTGTGAATTCCCTTGTTCAGAGATAACACAAGAATGATCACATCTTTACCAGTATCTCCTTCTTCAAGTCCATTGCGACGGTACGGGCCAAATCATCAGAGCTGTTTCTTTTCTCCTCCTCATCCGTCTTACACAATAATGGGACAAAATAGTTACACTTTGAATGACATATCCTCGTATCCTATGAGATCAAGTGCCACATTCACTCTTGATCCTTGGTCTGAAACATCTCGATACAGAGCCAATACACCACCTGGTGGATCTCCAAGAATGAGACTCATTTGAGTTGCGGTCTTAAATAGCTATAGAACTAAAATATTGCTAAGTCTCTCCAATATACCTTGTGGTTGCACTTCAATCTGGACTCTGGAGCACAAACTATCCTTAAGATTATGGTCCATTCTTTATAGATGAGAACCAGGTGACGGAAGAAATGATTCTTGCCCTAAGCTCTCGGTGCATTGGATTGGGGAGACCTACTGCTTGTAACAATTTCTTGATTGTTGTAAATGCAATGTGCTTACTGCTTGCTTACGTTTATGTTGTACAATGCTAGTTCATGGAAGAATAAAAAAAATATAAAAAAAAGTAATTTTCATACCTACTCTTTTCTTTTTGAAATAAATTCTATTCGAGATTAGATACGTGTAGGG